TTTAGATAATATCTCTTTGGACACCAGCAGCCTCAGACCTCGGCCTCATAGACTCACCTGCAGTCATGGGCTTGGGGGTGCGAGTCAACCACCGCGACTGCAACCACTGCAACAGGATCAGCGTTGGTGGCACAGGGAGCAGCGTAAGGACATTGTCCTGGCACTGCCCAGGGAAAGCAGAGGAGGGGCCACTCTCACAGACAGATTTATCTAATGCCCTCAATGCTGTCGAACACAATAGCCTAATCTCCACGACATGTGCTCTCCAAGGAGGACTGTGTTAGCATCACTCTCACCAGCCTAATAGGAAACGTCTCAAAGAACGGCGCCGAGCCCAAGCCAGTCAAACCAGCCCAGGAGGTGCTTTGGGTCCTGCTTCCTCCCGTTTCCATAGCAATAACCCAAGTCCTGATCAGACAGCCCAGTCACTGACAACGAGACAAACACTAGAGAGGAGGGATCTGTTACAGAATGTGTGAGGAGTTGCTCCAGGACTGTTATCTCCTTGCAAAGAAATCTCATACCAAAGCTGTTGCTTTGTGCTTGCTTGTAAAGAAATGCCAAAGCAAGGAGCTGCTGCCAGTGCCTGACTGACCATTTAGCCATACATAGAAAGAGATGACTGGGCTCCTTTGGGAAAAGTCACATATTTTTGAGAATCAAAGACTAGGGAGAGGTCCCACTCCCTGGAAACAGTGACCAGGAGCCACGGTGCTGGTGTGTGGCTGGTGGTAGGAGGGAGAGAGCTTGGTTTGGAGCAGGGCTCCTCATGCAGGTCAGGAATGCATCACAGAAACATCCTCCAACATTCAGGTCCTGCCACAGCACAGACCAAAGGGTTGCCTCCCTCCAGCCAACATTTCTGCTGCAGAATTCCTTTTGCCAAATGCCTGGGCAACAGCCCTTGTGCAGGCAGTCTGTACCACCCTCAGCCCAGCTGAGGTGTTTGGGGAGCTCAGGTTGGGAGCTGCAGGTCCAGAGAGATTCAACAGCCATCCACGTCCTTAGTACAGATCCTCGTGGGGACCCTGTGGCTCAGCCCTGGCAGCCTGTCAGGCCACATCCACTCTTCAGCACTAAGAGAGGGTGTTGGGGAACCTGTTCAATTCCTCCTGGCAAAGCAACACGTGAAGGACTCACCTGCCCCTGGGTGCTGGTGGCCGTGCCCAGGAGGGCTCAGCCCAGGAGCACTGCTCACTCCTCCCTCCCTCCCCATTACATTCCAGCCGGGTATAATCCTTTAAAAGGCACGTAGCTGGTCTCAACGTGTGGCCATCCTGCATTACGGACCTGCTGTGCGGCTCCAGCTCTGGCTGAGGGTTTGCAGCTGGAGCTGCCTGCACAACCAGGCTTTTGACTCCGCTGTCGGTGCTGGGAGAGCTGCTGGGGCAGAGGGGGTTCACTTCAAAGCTGTTCTGCCTCTTATAAAATCCCATGCCACGGAAATGGGGATGCCTGGAATTTACAGATGCCTGGCAGGTCTGCAAATAAAACATTCAGATCAGTTGGCTGGCTTAGGGTTTTTTTTAAAGTGTTGATATTATGGTGACATATGGAAGCACCAGCTTAGAGCAGAGCCTTGCACTGCACGTGCTGAGGCAGGTTTTGCCCCAAAGAGCTGTGAAGCAGCTAAAGAGAAGGACCCTGTGCGTTGTGACGGAGGAATAACCCAGCCTTTGAGCTGAACTGAGCCACGTCCTGGCTGTGACACTCAGTGACCTGAGGCAGGTCTCTAGCAGCTGAGGTGCAGGCATTTAAAGAACCCTCAAGTGTAAAAGCAAAGCTGGGAGATCCTGAGATCCTGCCCGCCCTTAAAAGACACAGGAGCAGGCTGCACTTGTGCTCCAAGTCAACAGCAATGCAAAATACAATGGATTTGCTTAAATCCCCAGCACAGACCACAGCCAAAGCAACCTGCCCCCAGGACAAACACAGCAGGAGCCTGTTATCTCCCTTCCTCAATGTGCCTCTGTTCCCAGCAGAGTCTTCCCCCAGGGCCTACAAACCCCAACGTGTGGCCAGCCCTCCGCTTCCCCATCCTGGCACAGGATCCTGGCACACGGGCCAGTCTGTCCTGCTCCTGCTCCTCGCCCTTTGGCCATCGCTGCTGGCGCCGGGAGATGGTCAGTGGGGCGTGGGGGTTGCTGGTGCTGCAGCAGGGACAGATGAGCATCCCTGGGGTCACCTTCAGAGGGCAAATCTCTCCTGACTGTAGGAAGGTGTCTGGACAAGACGTGTTTTAAAATACCATTAAAAAGAACGCACCCAGACAGGCGACTGAACCAACAGGGAAAGCAATTTGCTCCATATTTATACTCCAAAAAAGGGATTTCAGATCCAGCCTTTCCTAGCCCTCTGGGCTAGCATCTACCTCCCTCTCTGCAGAGCATGCTGCTCCTGCCAGACAAGCCCTGCACACCGGCTCCACAGCCAATAAATCCTCTTCTACATTAAACATTGCGGGTCTCAATTAATTAAATGAGCACAACAACCACAGTCCCCTCAGCAATTAGAGAAGTGGCTGAGTAATTAGATGGAATGTTAATTTAATTTCCAGGAGGAGGAAAGAAAAAGAAAGAAAGGAAAAGAAGAAGTAGCAAATGGGATTACATTTGACAAGAGGGAAATTAAAAGTCACTTAATCATAGAGCAATTAAAGTTCCCCAAACTATGTAGCTAGAAAAAAAAAATAAAAAACAACCCAAACCTGGAAGGACAGGACCACCAGCACAGTTTGTGAAGGATGCTCGCCCAGGTAAAACACGGGCTGAAGGCCCATGTGTACATGGATTTGTATAACACCCACTCTAGCTTAGCCTTGCCTTTCCCCGTTGTTAGGGAAGTGGGAGAAGGCTATTGCCTTGCAAACAACTGCTTCATCCTGGCCATACCTTCAGATAATGCTCTTATCAGCCTTCCTCAGCTAAGTAAGATCAGTCGTCCTCTGCCAGGAGAAACAGAAATGCAAGGCGAGCAACTCACCGCAGCCCAGGGGCCGTGCTGCAGGGAAACTGGGGCTGGTGGCCCAGGGCACAGACAGGCAGAGTCACCCCCAGCGCGGGCAGCTCCAGGGCTGGGGGCCACCCCACACCAGCACCAGACTCTGAGCACAGCATGTGCCCAACCAGCGGGTTGTCTCATCCCTGCATTTTTTTCCCCACGTGTTTCTGATTTAAATATTGTTTTCCAACCGTTTGGAGCATCAACAGGTACCAGGTTTCACTCAGGACCATTCTGAGAGACCACGAGCAGTCCCGTGACAAGCAATCGCCCTGAGCCCAACCCAGGGTTTGCTAGAAAGAGTGGAGACTGAAGTGGAAAAATCCCTGGCCTTGGGCATAAGACATAGGCAAGATATTCAGCATCAAATCTGTCAGAGGGCTGACAGCCCCCATGAGGTCTGGTGTCACCAGAGGGGCTGGAGCACCCCAGCCCACCCCTTTCCCTTTCCTGACCTGCCTTTCGGGGCAGCACACCTGAGATAACACCTTCCCCAGCCCCTCCATGCTCAGTGAGAAGCAGGGGTGGGTGCCAGGCTCTTGGGTGTGATGAAGCTGTCTGAGTTCAGCTCCCAGAGGCCTCCTGCCTTATCCCAGCCTGCGGCGAGGTTTGGAGATAAAGGTAGGTTTGTTTGGTTTAATTAGAGCTGGCATGGCAGAGCGTCTTGCTGCCAAGGGCTGACAGGCAGATTAATTAATCCGCTCACCGTTGTCACTGGGAGACAGCTCCTCAGCAGTAAAGTGGGGGGAAGCCTGAGGAGAAACAGAGAGCCTCAGCATCGCAGCAAAGCCAGCGGGGAGAGGGGATGGAGGGAGATGTTTCCTCCCTGTTGATGATTTTCTCCTTTTCCCCTCCCAGGGCTCAAACCTCCTCCCACCCGAGTGCCTCGCCAGGGCTCTGCAGCTACGCTGACCTGTGAAAGTCAGGACTCCTTTAGCTACAGAGCTGAAGGACTCGAACCCTCCACCACAAAACCATTTAGGACTACAGCAGGGGTTTTGCAGAGGGTAAAACAGGGAGTTAATGCCCCTGCAGACCTTTGGGAAGCAGCAGATGGTTTGCTAGCACTAGAAGTCTGATTTTATTACAGAAAGCCATGTGAAATAAAGCAGAGCAGAAGCCTCGTGCTTTGCCGTGCCTCCAGCCGGCGAGCAGCCCGCCAGGCTGCAAACGCCTGTGCTGATTCCAGTACCCACAACTCACTGGCTTTTAATTACGATGTGGTGCATTCACAGCAATCCAGGAGGAAAAGAAACTATTTTCCACCAAACAGCTGTCTGAAACGCTGTTCGAAGGCTGGAAGCAATCACAGCAGGCAGTGAATGGAGGTGTAACAGCAGCTCGGAGCACTGGACTGTCACTCAGCGGGGAGTTGGATGTTCCCAGCTCTGCCAGCATGTCTCCTGCGTGGGGCCGGCTGCTTCCCATCTCCAGCAGCCTGTCCTGCATGCCGATGGAGCAGGTGTGCAGACAGGGAGGATCATGGCTGCAGCAGGTACAGGCTTGCTCAGGAGAAAAGAGCAGTAGGAGAACTGGGACTGAGTCCTTGGGAAGGCTCAGGATGAACAGTTGTGGTCACTCGTGCTCAAGAAAAATATTGGGGAAACTGGGATGGATGAAGAGCAACTTGGAGTCAGAAGAAATAGTGTGTCCAGCTTGCAGGCAAGGACTATGGGAGCTGGACTTTTTCGCCTGGAAATCAAGGACTGAGGAGGTAGGATGGAGGGATGTAAACACCCTTGCAGGCCAGAGAGACTGTGGAGAGAGAGGAGCGTGATTTAGGCTAAAGATGAACCTTTTCTCTGCTGTAGATGAGCACTACTTGGCTGTGTATATACCCGGAGGATGGCTCCCAGACTCTAGGGAGATAGAAACAGCTTTGCTAGGCAAAAGCCTAGCTGCTTTGGGGTAAGGCCATGTGATATATGAACTCCAGACACGGGCCATTTCCCCTCCATGGGTTCCTCTGCGCATCCCCAACATGCTCCCCACAGCAGTACCTGCACCCAAGCTGTCCCACTGCAGAGAGTATTCCCCAGCTTCACTCCAACCTTTCTCTTGGCCTCTGGCAGAGTGTTGTCTCAGTCTGGCTGGAAAAAAAACAGGTTTAGGAAGATAGAAGAACAGCAACTCCAGCAAGCGCTGCTGCATCCCCCTTCTCCGGATCACATCCCCAACTCCCCTCCCCGTCCCCCATCATCATCCAGCCTCTTTTGGCTCCCCAGATCTCTCCCTGCAGACCCCTTCCCCACCCCAGCATGCTGGGGACAGTCAGAGACAGATCTCTGCCCTTCCAGGCCTCCTGTCCCCCACACCTGGGTCCACAATCCTGCCTGGACTTGGTGTTAACCCCCACCATGTCATAGGGGCATCAGGAAAGCTCACGAGGAGTGTCTCTGGAGGGGGGAATTGTTTTATATACACTGCAGTCACTCCCAACATGTGGCTTTGCTGGGTGCTGCCCACTTTTAAAGCACACAAACTGATGGAGAACAAGCACCAACACATTGCCAGGCATGAGACAGCCAGTATTTACTCTTAAAAGAGTAAATGAGTGTGAAAGCCATGTCTCCTGCTAAGGTATGAAGGTCTGGCCTTTGTCGGCGAGGCCATGCTGCCGGAGGGGGGGCTTGGGTGGGTGCCAGGCTGGGCTGCTCCACCTGGCTACGTGCAGGCGAGGGGCCAGGCCCTGTCCTGCATCCCTCAGCGATGCCCTGCCTTCCTGCCCCACCATCCCCAGCAACCTCGCAGGCGAAGGGCAGAGATGAGAAACTCGCTGCCTGCTCCACCAGAAGGCTCAGAGATCCCCCAGCAGATCTGCCCGGATCATAACAATCCAGAAAAAGAGCAAAGAGGACTTTTGCCTTGCAGAAAGGTGTCCTCACTTTGCAAAACAGAGACGCTTCACTTCCCCAATTCCCCATGTCTCCTCAGGCAGCTCCCGTGTCACCCCAGCTCACCCAGAGCAGGACGCTGTAAAAATTAAGCATTTGCTCCAAGTCTGTCCCCTTTTCTGTGAGCCCCCGGGGGTAACGCACATGATCTGCTGCTCCCGGGGTTTTGCAGAGGTTGCATAAGCCCTGCGTGCCTCGGGGATGCTGCTGCCCTTTAGTGTTTATTTGCTTAGCAGTAATTATAGTGGTGTAATTATAATCAGCACTCGTTTACATAAAGAATCACTTTGCTCAGCTTCTGGGCCTCCCTGCTCTTTGAGCCATGTGCCAAGACAAACCTTGGGAGTGCAAAAATTAACATGACACTAGGTCCAGGGAAATGGAAAATAGGAGGGAAAGAGGGTGAGGCCCCCCCCCCCAGCCAGCTTGGCCCACGTTCCCCTCTGGATGGGAAAGCTGGGAGCGCTGTGGTGTTTACATGCACTGTCAAGGGGAATGGTGCAGCTACACTGCGCCTTTTAGTTGTGAATTAACAGCCAGCCAGCTCCATCCCAGCGATTAATGGGTTTGTACAGACCAGCAGGAGCATTGCTGTTGTGCTTGCTCCTTGCTACCTATAAAAACCAAACATGTTTACGTGGGATCAAGCATAAGGATGAGTCAAAACTCACCTTTTTGGGTGCGTGCAGCATCTAGAGACGTCAACTTAGGACAGGTTAAAAAAAAAAAAAAAAGTCCAGAGACACAAGCTCATCCTGAGTTTTCTTCCTTCCCTGCAGCAAGCTGACTTGGCTTTACTCCTGAGAAATCAAAGAAAAGTCTGTAAGTATTAGATTGATTTTCAAAACAGGTCCCATCTGAGCTTTTTAAATAAGACCCAGGTTTTCAAGTAACTCAGTACAGGGCTGCCGAAGACAGCAGCAAGGGAAAAAAACTTTTCATCCACAAAAACTGTGAATGAAAATATTTGCATTTTCTTCCTCTGTGCTTTCAAGGCTTGGTTTAAAAAAAAAAAAAAATCTTTCATTTGAGAAAACAGCTTCTCTGAATATTTAAGGGGAAAAAAAAAGTAATCCAAAAGTTGGCTGATCTATTCCAAAACTCAATAGGTGAGAATAAAGCCGGTAACTAAAAAAATTTCATTTTTAAAATCAGATGCTTTGATAAGCATTTGGGGAGCTCCTGTTGAAAAGCAGCTGTATTTGGAGGGTTTAGACTGCTGCTACACAGACACTCATCCTAGTCAATTCTTGCCCTCACTTCTTCAGATAAAAAAACTAATCTGAGGTTTTTGGCAGATCTATGAAAGTTAGGAGCACGTGGACACCAGGGATGGATGGTGTGGCATCAACACATCTGCACACTGTCATGTGCTGGGAGAGGAGCATCCACTTCCCCAGCAGAGCCAGACTCTCCTGCAGCCTTGGCCGTGTCTCTCGGCTGTTTTTCTGGACAAGACTGCATGAGTCCAGACATTGCATGTGCTGGGGCTACACTGCTCAAAATCAAAAAGCATTTATTCCCTCTACCAGGCTCCAAGTGTAGTCTGAGCCTGCTTGTCCTGGAGAGCATGCTGCCCTGTTCTGCCTGGAGACAGACTATCCCAGAGTTTTGTCTGGGCTAAGAGTTATTATTCCTGGGGAGGGTCAAAGCCCACTTCTTCAGTCCTCTCGCTTCTTCCCCTTCTCCAGGATTCCCAGATTTTTTTAAGTGTTTCCCCAGTGCTAACTGCAAATGACTTGTGCCACTTAGAGAACCTACACCCTTTCCAGCATCACCCCCTCGCCCTGCAGCCCTGCTCAGGCACAGAGTAGGTGAGAGGCTGAAAAAGGCAGCAACAGCAGCAGCTCTGCCCTCCATCCCGTCCTGCTGAATTCTCGTTTGCCTCTGCCATTTCAGAGGTGAGCTTCCCACCACCCCTCTCCAGAGCCAACACGGTGAGACAGGACCCTGATGCCTTCACACCCTTCCCCTGGATCCCAGGAGCTCTTTGGCTTTTCTACTTCAGCAAGCCACTGACCGGGGGTATTATTTTTCCCAGGGCTTTTTCTGGGATTTAAATAGGATCCATGAGGCAGGAAGAGTCTGGTCACAAGGGAGAGGATGTCTGTGAGTGCCTGCCTCAGGAGAGCACTTGTCTGGGCTTCCTGGCTGCTCAGCCCGTGGTCTCTGGGATCTGTTCTCTGTCCCAAGCTGCAATGACAGGCCTTGCCTGGCTCCCCTGCACAGAGGGATCCTGGCAGCCATCTCGGTAGAAGTTGTCTGCCCCAAGGCCAGTCATGGGAGTTGATTTCCCTAGAAGTCATTTGTGGTTTAAGGGAAGATGTTCCCAAACCCCACTCTGCTCAAACACCTTCTCCTCCCTCTCCAGCAACATCTTTGCTGGGGGAGATCCTGGCCAACAGCCCATGAATCGCTGATCTGCTCATCACACCTCTAAAGATGGCCCAGAACCCAGTCAGAAGGCTCCGAGTCCAACAGGACTTACCAGATAGCTGGCAGGGATCAGTTGCGGATTAATACATTTTTCATGAGCTGTCTGCACTGAATAGATGGTATAAATCACCCAGAGACAGCCGGCGTGCAGGTGAGGCAGGCTCAGAGGGCAGATGAGGTGCCTACAGATGAGATGCAGAAAGCAACCATGCGTGAAGAGCCACTCCAAGGTTTTGGTTTCATCGATTATGTGTCAGTCTTGGGGAAACAACATTCAGGAAATAAACCAGCAGAGCTCATTACTCCTGCAATTCCCAGCTACCAAAAATCAGTCGAGAAAGCACCAGCAGTAGCAATAGAGCTGGTTTGTAAAAGGATTTGAGTAGGGCAAGCTAGAAAAAGTGAGGACTCCTGCCACAAAAGGCCTGGACTGCCCAGACACATTTTTTTGGTGTCCCAAGTGCCACCAGCAGGTAGTATCCGCAGGTAGTTGTTTCTCTTCTGTGAATTTCATTCTGTTACTGGGGCTACAAGCCAAAAATGTGCAGGGTTAATGAGTTAAAATGATTTTATCCCAACTCCCAAGCAACAGCCCCATCCCGAGGCCCTGTGTCCACCTGGTCTGGGTGTCCCAGGCAGGGGGATGTAGGACAGCCCGCTCCCCTTGCTGCCATCGCTTCCTCGCTCTGTCTCTTTCATTAGCACTGATTGTTCCTTTGGGCTTGGAGCCAAAGCAAAATCTTGTCTCCGGAGGATACATTTTTAGACAGTTTACAGAATCTGGCTTCCTGCTTTTAAATATCTTGGGTTCTTTTGTTTCCCGTCACCTGGAAAGTAGGTGTGAGAAAAGCCAGTGTCCCCAAGTGACTCTGGGGGTGATCTTGCCATGAGTGGCCAACCTCTGTGGCTTTGGAACGAGCCTGAAGCAAAGTACCCTGAAGGCATCTAGGTGTGCTGACCAAACCTGCAACCACCCCGGGCACTGTGATCGCCTCCTGCTTCCCCACTCGTGGTGGGGTACGACCTTCTCCCCTGCACGATGTACGGGCAGGGCAGGAGAGGAGCACTGTCAGGGTGGAGGTGCTGAGATACAAAGCTGGAATAAAACAAAACAGCAGAAAGGCTGAACGGCATCAGTCCTGAGACTCCAGCACAGCTCCTCATCAAGTCCCGGGATGGGCCAAAGGGCCAGTACCACCACTGAGGTGGTGTGTCAGACCCCAGCACGTTCCTGCTGGGTTTCTCCTCGCCAGGCAAGCCCGGGCCAGGCGTGACACAAAGCGTGCTCTGTCTCGCACATCCTCTTGGCGCCGGGTGCACGCTGGCGCAGCCGCCCACCACGGGAAGCTGCTGACTGGGGTGGGGGGGAGACTCGGCTACCTCGAGGCAGGAGTCAATGGGGTTTTGCCATGTCTAGGCTTTTCTTCACAGCTGCTGGCTTAGAGAAGCTTTTGAGATGATACCATCCCTGAACCATCCTGTTAGTTCTTTTCTTCAGAACTGCAGCAAGTAGTTTTCCCATCAGCGATTTTACATCAAATGGGGTTTGCTGGAGCAAGGAGAAAAAAAAAAAAAAGGCTTTTTTTTACACAGATACCCTGTTAAACACTCTGGAATATTATGTGTATTCTTTTTAGTAGCAGCTGGCTGTCAGTAGCCTGGCACTCCTCTGATCTCCAACCCTCAGCTCAGAAACCCACTCCAGGCAACGAACAGCCCCTGTGGCCAGTGGCAGCTCTCCGGGGAGCACAGCCAGGCCAGGGGTGCTCAACTCTGCCCTGGGGAGCCCCAGGCCCCCTCCAGCCCCATGGACAGGGAGGATACCCCTCTCTCTGCAGCAGGGTCATGTGGCGAGCTGAGATTTCTAGGAGCTGCTTGAATAAGAGAATCAAAGTGGGGAGGCACCGGAGGCTGTGCTAGCTCAGCAGCCAGGAGAGATACTGCTTTGTCTGTAAGACATCTCTCTCCAACCACAAGCTCAGCAGCAGCTCCCACACCATAAAGGATTAAGCGAGGACTAAACCCAAGGACAGCACTCTCAAGCTTTAGGAGCAAAGGCACTCAGGAGCTTTGCTCCCAGGGAATTCGTGCGGAGGTGCCTGAGCATCTAGGCTTGTGGGATGCCCTCAGGCCACCAGCACGGAGCACGAGGAAGGGGGGTCCCCTTGCCAGGACCCCCGGCACAAGCCATGCCAGGGATCAGAGCCGCCTCTTGCCCCGGGCCATGGAGGCTGCATCCTGGCCTTTTGTTCTCGAAAGAGAGCGTGCAGGCAATTGGGTGCCAGCCACAAGAGCTTGTGCTGGTGCCTGCTTCCTCCCTTGGCACGCAGCGGTGCCGGGTGCCTCTGGCCAATTCTTGCTTGCGTAAACAGCCCAAGTAACGAAGATAAATGAGGCTGAGTGGCAGGGAAGGGCAGCACGTCGGCTGCCAGCCAGTCCTCCTCTGTGAATCAGGGCACGCTGCAGGGCTCCGGGGTCATGCTTTTGGTTAGGGACTACAGCATCCCGCGATGTGCTTTAGGAGATGCCTTAGACTGGCTCCCCCAAATCACTGACCACTCGTTTTAAGAGCGTGAACAGGAGGCTTAAGGCGTGTTTTCAGACCGGCAAAAAAATTCACCCACAAACACATCTGCACGTGAAATGCTCCAACTCAGTGAAGAAAAATGTTGCCTGAGTTACAACCATTCCTTAGGCATTTCACAGACCCAAGCTCAGGTACAGGTGTTCATAACCATGGCAAGATTTCCTGTGGCTCTGACGGGAGGGGGTTCAAAGCCCGTTTTCACCAGGCAGAAGGTTCCTCCTACTCACTGGGTCTCACTGGGTGCTCCCAGCATGGGGCTCAGCCTGTGGGTGAGCACTGTCACCCCAGTGTTGCTCATCCAGCTGACATCTCAGTCCACGACACGGTCAGAGGAAACCAACCCCTGCAGTGATGTCGACGCTTCCCAGCAATGCAGAGCCTTGACTTGCTGCTCCAACCCCTGGGCCTGTGTCTGAGCTGCATCTTCTAAGGGATGTAAGAGGTTAATATTAAAAAAAAAAACCTGTCTTGAGCCATGCTAATGCTGCAGAACAGAGCACCCCTGCCAAGAAGCTTATCTGAGGCTCTTTGTGAACAAAGAGAACCCTGGAAGGTGGCGAGGCTCAGTGACAGGGAGCAGGGATGCAAGCCAAGATCGCTGCCTCTGGCCAGAGGAGAAATTTCCATCTTAGAAAGGAGCCACCCCATTCTGATAACCCCGCTGTTCCCACCACGGCAATGGGCCTCGGGGGGCTGGGGACCCTGTCCCTGGGAGCTGCCAGCACAGCCCAGCTCTGTCACAGCAGCATCTCGTGGCTCTGACTGCACAGACCAACACCTCAGCTAAAAAACATCCTTAAGGGATGCAACCCAGGGCAGGTGTCCCTCTACGGAGCTCCACAGTGGTTCTGCTTTTCTGCTGGCTCCTGCACCTTCTAAATTGGGGCAGAAAAGAGCCCCCTCCTCCA